AATTTACCCTAAGAATGCAGCAGCCCAGTTTGAAAAAGAGACATGCACCCCTATGTTTATCACAGCATTATTTACAATAGCCAAGAAATGGAAGCAACCTAAGTGTCCATCAGTAGATGAATGGATAAAGAAGATGTGGTACATATATACAATGGAATATTGTTCAGCCATAAGAAGAAAACAAATCCTACCATTTGCAACAACATGGATGGAGCTAGAGGGTATTACGCTCAGTGAAATAAGCCAGGCAGAAAAAGACAAGTACCAAATGATTTCACTCATATGTGGAGTATAAGAACAAAGAAAAGCTGAAGGAACAAAACAGCAGCAGAATCACAGAACCCAAGAATGGACTAACGGTTACTAAAGGGAAAGGGACTGGGCAGGAGTGGGAAGGGAGGGATAAGGGCAGGGAAAAAGACAGGGCGCCTTACGATTAGGATATATAATGTGGGGGTGGGCATAGGGAGGGATGTGCAACACAGAGAATACAAGTAGTGAGTCTACAGCATCTTACTATGCTGATGGACAGTGACTGTAATGGGGTTTGTCGGGAGGGACTTGGTGAAGGGGGGAGTCTAGTAACCATAATGTTCTTCATGTAATTGTAGATTAATGATAATAAAATGAATTTAAAAAAACACTGATGAAAGTTGAAATAAGTTTACAGTATCATTTACCCACAACTTAGGTTCCACTATTACCATCTTACTTTGCTTTATCATGTCTAGTCCTCTATCCATTTATCAATCTCACTTTTCATATATATTTTTTCTCAGTATGTAGCAAAGTAACTTTCAGGCATCAATCACTACACTTAATGGGATTTTAACATTTATAGATTTTTTTTCCTGTGGTAAAATTTATCTATAATAGAATGTATAACCTTAATTATACATTGAGTTTTCATAAATTCATGCTCCTGAGCAATTCAAACCTCTTTTGAAATGTAGAACATTACCATTGTACCAAAATGTCTCTCCATACCACTTCCCAGTAATTTTCCACACCACCACCAGAGGTAACAATGCTTATTTTTTTTTTACCAAAGTTTAGTTTCATCTTTTCTTTAACTTCATATATTTGGAATTAGGGAGTTTGTAGTATTTTGTGTAAAAGTCTTTTTCTATATTGTATATCAACTATACTTAAATTAAAAAACAAGTCACATGTTTATATTGTATATCCATTAACATATTTAGAAATGGAAACATTTACAGGAGGAAGAGCATCAGATGGTCAATATATATACATAAACATACAAGGCTGTTCTCTTAGTTTACTTAAAAAACAAATAGCCATTTAAAGCAAAAATATCAAGGTGGATCTTGTATGTAGAAGTAAAATATGATAGTAGCATCACAAAAGATGGAGGACAAATAAAAGTATTGCAGGTTTCTTTCTAATTAAAGTGTATGTTGAAGTATAAAGTGTGAAATGTGAACCATGAAGACTAGAATGTGAAATGGTGTGACATTATTTCCAAGTAGACTGTGATGCATTAAAGATAGGGAAATTATAATTCCTATTCCTAGAACAACCATTAGATTCCATTCTATTCCTACTCCAGCATTTACCTATTCAGAGTAGATTTATGTTTAAGTTTATAAAGTGTAAGTGATTTCCTTCCCATTTCCATTATGTTTTCAAATACTCTGGCCTGAAATGGACCCTAGCAATGTGTTCACATGGTTCACATGCTTGTCAAACTTGGAAAAATTGTATATTTAGCTACAAGTGTTTAAAATAATTGTTTTACCTTCAGTTCTGATCCCTTTCTCATATTTTTCTTTTTGCTGTGTAGCACTGAATAGCTACAGGCAGTTTTGGGATCTGGTTAGGAGACACTGTGTTAGAAATTACTCTGCAGTTTGGAAAGACATTTTGGTATGATTTAAGAAACAAATAAAATAAAGTTTATTAAAGAACAGAGAAAATTCAAACTAAAAAAGGAATGTGAGAAAAGCAATGAAAATGGTCAATAAAATTTTTATTCTGACATCAAGCACATTATGGAGAAATAAAAAGCCAATTTCAGATTATACAAAAACAGTAATTCATTAAGAAAGCTAAATTTTGAATAAAGCAATAAATAGGCCATTGGATTGCTTGATAATGTAATTGATAAGTTAATCACTGAACAGTAAAAACAGATTTAAATTTCTTGCATATTTAACATAAAATACTGACAGTGACAAAAATAACATATGCCACTGACAATAAGGACAACAAAACATCCAACTGATAAGTGTCACAAATGAGATTCTCAGAATTGTCCTGATATAAAAAACAAAATGTCCTAAAATTTGTAGCCTGTAATTGGAAGAAACTTGATAAAGGTTTACCTAAACATCAGCAATTTGAAATGTTTCTGACCAGGCCTGCTAGAGGAAATACCACATCATCTTTTTCATTCTCTCTAGAAAATTTTAAATGACAAAATTAACATATGAAGAGACAGTCCAAAAACATAACACCAGTTTATGGGAAAAATAGAGGTGGTGCATCAGGCAGTTAATAAATAAAAAGTTACTTTATTATTTCCTGATCTCTGTGATGTGTGTTAAGACTTTAAAATTTGTAAAATGATGTGATTTTCCATTCTAAATCTCCATTTTCATGCTTACGTTTCACTGTAACATCGTATAACCTGGATCTCCTACTGTCTGTATTTCTCTTTGTGTTATAAGCTACATGAGGGCGGGGTCCTTGTGTTCTTTATTATTGTGTCCACACACACACACAATGCATTCAACGATCATTTGTTAAATGAATATACTAATGAATTTAAAGTCAATTCAACTTCTTAACGTACGTTATCTCTCTCTTCATTTTTGTGGCCACTGCTTGATTCAGACCCTCACGTACCCTGAATTCTTGAAGTCCTCTCCTAACTGGCCTCCCTGCCTGTAATCTCAATTCCTTCCAGTGTATTTTCCACAGTCCTGCCACGATAACATTTCTAGGTGCCTATCTGACCATACTGGCCAAACTCCTTGGTTAGAGAGCCAGGAAATTAGTTGCTGGTGCCCCTTGCCACATATTTCATTCTCCAGTCATGCTCTCTGCTCAATTTTCTGGATGCACCAAAACAGCTCACCCATTCCTGCTTTTCTTCTTTTATTCCATCTCCCATAACTCTCTTCTCTTGTTCCTTTCCCCCGTACGCTGGAAAACTCCAGCCTCTTGTTCTGCTCCATTATTTTTCCTCTTCCTTCTGAGCCGCTAATTCTGCTTAATACACTTACTTTCTAAATACACAGCATTTACTGTATATTCTAATCGATTCCTACACATTAAAAAATTTTTTCATTTCACATGCAAACTAGCTTTAGGTAGTTACTTGTTACGTGCCCGTGTCTCCTCCTAGACGAGTTGAGAGTAAAAAAACACCACCCACCACAACAAACCCGTTGTATTCTTTCCCCCAGTCCCACCATCTCCCCTTAGCTGTGTCCATGAGACCAGAGGAAGCAGATAGTCTCAGAAAGAAATGGGTGGTATCCAACTGGAGGAACTATAAAGTCCTTCTGACCCTAATGTTTTGCGTTTCCCAGACCGCTCGACTCCCAGATGCCAGCAGCCACTGCGCACCAAAATCTCCCACTACAGAACCGCCTCCCACCCAGTCCGGCTGGATGTCTAGCTCCGAGTATTGTAAGAAGTAGCCATCAAGACACTACAACCTCCGCAGCTTCTAGAAAGAACCAGAAAGTTCCAGGAACAGCCAGAGTTGAGAGGCTTCCGCGAAAGGGCGCGGACGGCTGACGTACTTCCGGCCTTTGCGGCTAGTCGGTCGTTCAGGTGCTGCTAACTCCACAGGGAATCTGGAGCTTCCCCGGAGCCGAAGGTGAGTCTCAGACCTCTCACCCTGATCCGCCAGACTCCGGTAAGATATAAGGTCCGCGCCTTGGAGTAGGCGGAGAGGGGGACGTCTGTGCAGGCGTGACCCCCCGGACACCCTCTTGCAGTTGTCGAAACACATTCACAGGCCTGAAATCCCGGTGGTGTAGGAGGAGCCCCGCCCCTGCCGGGGTCGTGGGAGAGACCCCTTGAAGGGGCGGAGCTTTGTGGCTGGAGCCGCTGAGGGGAGGTGGAGGTTGGGCGTTGGTCTCGCTCCATGTCAAAAGCGCTGTGTCCGTCACTGTTACGTAACATAGCAATACGCAGTATTTGTCGAATATATTTTTTCTTTAACTATTTAAAAGTAAATTACTAGTATCATGACTTGTCATCCCTAAACAGTTCCATATGTGCACCTCTAAAATTTAAGGACATTTTTCATACGCAATTCATAACCACAGTATCATTTGCACAACCAGCTATGTTGTAGGAGCATTCCCTAATACCACCTAACACCTAGCTCATATTCAGTTTCCTAAACTGTCATCTTTTGCATTAATTGGTTTATATCAACTAGGATCCAATTAAAGACCATTCGTTGCATGTAAAGTCTTTAATTTAAAACAATCCTACCCTTCCCCACTCTTCCCCATCCCGTGCCCTGTTGAAAAGATTTGGTCTTCCTGTAGAGTATCCTGTTTCTGGATTTGCCTGTTTCCTTTTTGTATTTTAGTTGCCCCTCTATTTCCTTGTCATTGCAATCAGTTATCCTTTGGGTTTTTTTTTTTTTACAACACAGGTGGCTTATGATTGTCATTATCTGATGTTGAAGCTAATAAGAAAAATGCTCTTTTATGCTCTTTCCTGCATATTTTTAGTTCAATTAGGGAAAATGAGGACACTGTATCAAATTCTGCAGTTGTATCACAGTTTTATCATGTGTTTGCTGCCTGACACATAATAGGCACTAAGTAAAACTTTCTGAAGTGAGTTCCTCTGTGGGTTACAGGTAATGCATAGAAACTGAATACTGACTTTAGGATGAGCTCTCCTACCTCCTCCAGGAATAGTACCTTGTACACACCCCAAGATTATTATGGCTTTTATGCCACGTTGTAATTCTGTCTCTGTGAAGCCATGAACTGCTGTGTATATGCGCTCTTAGCATAGATCCATAATCATCTGTCCAAAGACTGAAGCACTTCTACTAACAAAGGTTAAGCTGTCTTGCCTTCCAGTTGTATGTATTTTTCAAAGTTAATTTGAAGAATACAGTAATATAACCCCTAAGTCTCTCTGGATCCAAGGCAGTAGACTTCACCCCCAATCTTCTTTCAACTCTTGCCTTTTCGGCTGTCACTCCTGTCTCCACCTTCATTCCCTAAGCTCATTCACCGTCCAGTAGCAAGTTTCTTAAAACATAAATCTTTTCATCTTAAAAGCCTTCAGTGGCTTTGGCAGTTAGAATAAAATCCAAACTCCTGTGCCCTGCATAATTTGGCTTGTCTTGCCAGCCTAATTTTTTGCCACTCTCCTCTCACTTGACTGTAGACACTCCAGCTTCCTTTCATTTGGGCCACACCATGTGCTGCCTCAGGGCCTTTGAATAGTCTTGAGTGCTCTCCCTGACTGCCACCTCTGTTCTTTGCACAGCTCACTCCTTTTGCTTCTTAAGGGCTCAGCTTTAATGTCATGTCACCTCCCATCGCTCTTTCTTAATAGGTCCTCCATTTATTTGATAACTCACTGCTTCATTGGTTTTCCTCACTGTGCTTATCACAACTGTTCATTGTATTATTTGCCTCCTTTTGTTGTTGCTGTTGTTTTTCGTTTGTCTTCTTTATTTGAATGTAAGCTCCTGCAGCACAGTGGATGGGTCTGTCTTTTTTACCTTTGTATCTCTATTGCCTAGCAAAGTGGCCTGGTACGTAGTAGGTGTTCAGCAAACATTGAGTAAAATGAGTGAATAAATGGCAACAACATCTATCTAGAACACAGCCAAGAACCACGACATCAGAAAAAAATCAAGCAGGAGAACTTTGAGTGCTTAAAATAAATTGTACCAAGTTTATCTGCTATATTTTAAAAGTCTTAAGCCATCATCAGAATTCAATTTCTACTACAAGAAATTGAATAGTTGTAGGACTGAAGTCCCTAGTAGGACTGAGGGCCCCCTTTCCTTGCTGGCTGCCAGCAGGGGACTGGTCTCGGCTTCTAGAAGATGCCTGCATTCCTTTACATGTGGCTCCCTCCATTGATAAACCAGCAGTTGTGCATCAAATCCTTCTCATGCTTCAAATCTCTGCCTTCTTTCTGCCACCAGCCACAGAAAACTCTGCATTTAAAGGGATCAGGTAAGCATGTTAGGCCAGCTCAGAGGTCTCTCTGTCATAAGGTCAACTAATTAGTAACCTTAATTACATCTTAATTAGACCTTTTGCCATGTAAATTAACAGTCAAAAGAGTAACACTAGAAGATAGAGATCATGGGACCATCTTACAACTCTGCTTACCACAATACCACTGTTTATTTATTCTGCACTTGATGGACATTTGAGTTGTTTAGAGCTATTACAAATAAAGTTGCTCTGAACATTCCTGTATTTAGTTTTCAGTGGCCATAAGCACTTGTTTCTTTGGGGTATATATCCAGGAGTGGAATTACTAGGCCATGGGGTGCACATATTTTCAGCCTGTCAAAAAATCATGAGACTCACTTAATATCTGAAACTCAAAAGCAGAGCTGAAGAGGTATGCCAACTGGGTTCAGTCCTCCTGAACAGAAGAGATTGCTGATTTTATATAGGAGTTTTGGGAAGCATGGAGTTCAGTGATTGCTGGATGTTTATGGAGTTAAGTGGACTGACATCACCTCTGGAAGCATGGTTTCATGGGACAAACGGTTGCCTATTAGTTGGTACTCAGAGCTGTGTTTATTGGAATAAGTCATTCTGGATTGGCTGATTTTCAAAAGCTATAGGTTGTCACAAATTGGCTTGCAGATTTCTGAAGTGAATTGTTGTTGAGTGAACAGATCAGTCTGGACTACTTGATACCATAGCTAAAGACCAGTCAGTCTTTTCCTAGGAGTGAGGGAACTTTTTATTCTCAAGCTTTAATAGATTAAAGAATTTTCAAAGTGGTTGTATCCATTAAACTGTCAGCATCAATATATGAGAGTTCCATTTGTTCCATACATTACTGATTTACCCTCAAACCATAAGATACATATTTACTTTCAGAATTTTTTAAATGATGCTGTCATTGTTTAGAATTTCATTTTCCTGGTAATAGTGAAAGCCTTAATACACTCTAACATTTTACTGAACTGAACATCCACCACATCTTGTTATTGTACATTAGAATTTTAGCTTCATATCTCACCTCTTTTATGTAGTAAAACATTCTTAAGTAAAAGATGTGATAAAGGAAAAATTGTTTATCATCCTGCCCCAAACAGTCTTTTTCCTATCCCAGAGACAAGTAATGTTGCTTGGGTGTCCAAATAGGGAAGACAGATACAGATGTAGATATAAATATATATCTATATATTCATTTTTTCCTTTTTTATACAGCTGATGGTGGCATCCTGTTCACACTCTTCACCTTGCTTTTCTCACTTAAATATATCTTGGCAGTCCTTTTATATAGTGCATAAAGAGCTCTTTTTTTTTAACTGCACAGAATACAGTATATGGATTACTATAATTTATTAAGCATTCCCATATTGGAGGACATGTAGTTTATTTCCAACCTTTTGGTCAAAAACAGTGCTGTAGTAAATAAAGAATTTTCTAGATACATAATTTTACACATTGGTGAGTATATTACTTTATAGAGTTGTATTTTTTTGCCATAGTCATTTAAATTTATTGTCATATTTTATCACATGCTAAATATTTATTGCTGTATGCCACCAACGTTTAGTGGTTGGTTGTTATACCGCATTATTATGGCAATGAAAAATTGATATAGGAGGGTGGCCTCTAAGGAGGGAACAGGTTAACTGCATGCCAAGAAAGAAAGGGAAACTTACTTTTCATGGACTATTCTCTGTACTTCTGATCTTTAAATCATTTGAAATACTTATTTCAAGAGGTAAATAAATAGTAGTGAACTAAAATTATGTTGTTTCTTCTATTTCACACTTTCTCTGAGTTAACATTTCTTTGCTGAACTACATCTTTTACTTTTTTTAGGAGCGATCTGTAGGTGGGAAATGACTATTTTGCTCCCACTATTTGCTTATATTTGACTGGGGGTAAATTCCATGTTGAAAGTTGTCCTTTTCCTCACTCTGATTGCAATCTGGACTCCATTTTTGCTTATGAGTGTTCTGCTGTGTTACTGTAGGTAATCTACCTCTTTTACTCTAGTAGCTTTCAGGATTGTCTCTATCCTCAACAGGCAGAAGTTTCACATATTTTATTTAGGGGTGTACACTCGATCTGAGAAATCATACCTTCATTCCTGGAAAATTCTTAATTTTTTCTCATCCACTATTATTTCTCAGCCATTCACTACATTTTCCTCTTCTGAATCTATTATATAAACACTGTATTTTCTTAATATAGGTCCTTAACTGCTTCTTCAGATTTTTCATCATGGGCTGCATTCAGAGTGAAGTCTTTAGTATTGTCAGATACTGAACAGTTAAAAATTACTGTTGTTTTTCAACTTTGTCCATTTTGTGGCTGTAGTTCAGCCACCAAGATCCCCTGTCTGTCCTTATGTCCACTGTGAACTGTAACCTTAAATACCTTTGGTCCTGTTTTTTGATTGGCTTGTGATGTTAAATCCCCTCCAATCTCCCTTTCTGCCTGACAAACTCCTTTCATTATTTTTGACCTAATTCAAATGTCTTTGTACCTCAGCCACATTCTTTCACCTCTCCATACCTAGCCAGAATTACTTTTTCCCTACTCTTTGCTCCTTGGATATTTGGTTGAAGCCTATACTGTAGCACTCATCACTTGCTATTACAGCTAGTTTTGTATGTTCTGTTCTTCACCTAAAGCTATCATATGCTGACTTTCTACCAGGCTTTTAGTTCACTACTACTTATTTACCTCTTGGAATAAGTATTTCAAATGATTTAAAGATCAGAAGTACAGAGAATAGTCCATGAAAAGTAAGTTTCCCTTTCTTTCTTGGCATGCAGTTAACCTGTTCCCTCCTTAGAGGCCACCCTCCTATATCAATTTTTCATTGCCATAATAATGCGGTATAACAACCAACCACTAAACGTTGGTGGCATACAGCAATAAATATTTATTTAGCATGTGAATATGGGATTTGGCTAATCTGGGCAGGGCTTACTTGAATATCTGGTCAGCTGTGGGTTTCTCAAGCAGCTCAGCACATCTCAAGCAAGACTCACTCACGTGTCTGAGAGTAGGCTGGCTGTTATCTGAGCTAGGATAGGCCATCTGCTCCACTGAGGTAGTTAGACTCTTGTTTTGTATGTATTTTATTATTTGAAAGCTGGCATATCCTCCTCTGACCAAGTGTAAAGGGCAAGGGCAAGCAAGCTCAATCACATGAGAACTTTTCAAGCCTCTGTTTGTATCACACTTGTTAGTGACATACTGGCCAACTTCAACTACATGGTTGAGCCCACAGTCCCAGTGGGAGGGCACTGCAAAGTACATGGCTACAGGGAAGAGTGAAGAATTGGGGCCATTATTGCATTCTGCCATATGCTTTTTTTCAGCTTCTAAATATATGTAAGTAAAATCCTTGATATACTTTTTATTAACAAATTATAGTATAATCATTGTTCCTATATGTCTTTTTTTTTCCATTGCTTTATTTCAATTAAAACAATGTTTTATCATCAGGTGTATCCTCCCAAAGAAGATTAAATCAGAGAATTTTAAGTCATTTGTTACCCCTTCACCCCAAGCTGGAGTGAGCCTTCCAAATTAGTCCTAGAATGGCTTCAAGAGAGGAAGAGGATGGACTTAAGATTGTGAAGGTGGAGGAGGACTCCACCTGGGACCAAGACAGAGAGAACAGCTTTTCTGGCCAGGAGGCCTCCCGCCAACTTTTTAGACATTTTTGTTACCAAGAGACTCCTGGTCCCCGGGAAGCACTGAGCCGGCTCCGGGACCTCTGTTGTCGGTGGCTGAGGCCAGACACACATACCAAGGAGCAGATCCTGGACCTACTAGTGCTGGAGCAGTTCCTGACCATCCTGCCTGAGGAGCTCCAGGCCTGGGTGCGGGAGCATCGCCCAGAGAGTGGGGAGGAAGCAGTGGCTGTCGTTGAAGATCTGGAGAGGGAGCTTAGTGAGCCAGAGAACCAGGTGAGAGGAGGAAGATGTACTCCTAGACACTGAATACTAAATGAAGGGTGAAATTTGGTGACCCAGGTTGGTTGGTTATAGCCACATGTATTAGTTCTCTGTTGCTATATAACAGATTACCCACAAGCTTTAATGGCTTAAGAAAAACAAAACATTATCTCACAGTTTCTCTGAGTCAGGATTTTAGGAGCTACCTAGGAGGATCTCGAGGTTGCAGTGAAGATGCCAGTCAAGATGACTCCCTCCCATGGTTGTTGGTAGGGGCCTCAGTTCCTCACTGGCTATTGGCAGAAGGTCTTAGTCCTTTGCCCTCTGGGTTTCTGCCTAGGGCTGATTGAGTGTCCTCACATGCCAGCCGACTTTCCCAAGAAAGAGAAAGAGAGAGAATGAAGCCCTATTGCTGTTGTGACTTAGTCTCAGAAGTTATATACCATCACTTCTGCTACACATTCTACTCAGTAGAAATGAGCCATTAAGTAGAGCTCACACTCAAGGTGAGGGGACTTAGGCTGTACCTTTTAAAGGAAATAGTATCAAATAACTTGTAAACCTATTGTCAGCCACCACAGCACATTGGACCACTCTTATTTTCCCCCTTCTGCTCTCGGGTATAGAATTAAACTCTGGACCTTCCCCTCTCCCATTTCTCTAAAAAATGTTTCATATTGTTCCTTATGATCTTTCATTGATTATTAGCCTGGGCTCCTGTAGTCATTCTCTTATGAATTCAAATATACCTATCTACCTTCAGGCCCCAGATTATGAACATGAACATTCAGAAATGCTCTCAGAGGATGTGGTGCGTCTGAAGGCCAAGCAGGAATCAACAGCCATCCAACTTCACTCCATGGTGACACAGCTCAAATGTGAATCATTTGGTCCCCACAAATTTGGAAAACAAGGTAAGGACTTTGATAGATCCATTCCACGAACCTCCAGTTGCACTGAATAGGGTAATAGTAAGACCCTGGACCCTGGAGTCAAATTTCCTGGGTTGGAGTTTAAGCACTGCTTAGTAGCTCTGTGACACTGGGCAGGCCAAATAACCTTTCTGTGCCTACTTTTTGCATCTATAGAATGAAGATAATCATAGTACCTTAGTCATAGAATGGTTTGAAGATTTAGTACATTACTATATGTAAAACACTGAGAACAGTGCCTGCTTCATAATAAGCACTCTAGTGTCCATCTGGGAGCCTTGCCTTCTTTGGGTGACCTCCAGCTGTGTCAGGAGTGCTGATGCCCCTTACTCTGCTAGTCTCAATACCCCTGATCAACCTTTCTTTACATTACACTGCCAATTTAGCATTACTAGAATGTGCATGTTTGACATGGATCTTCCTATTCCCCATCCTATGGTTGTACTCATTCATAAAGGAAAAAGATGACATTGTTTGGTCCATTTTTTATTCCAGATGGTGAAATTGTTTCTGAAAGTCAGGAATTGGCCTCAAAGCAAGAAGTCTTAAAAGAAATGGAACATTTTGGGAATAGTAGACTCCAGAGAGACACTCCTCTAGAATATAAGTACAGAGAAACTCGTAAATGTGAGAGCAAGGTAGAAAAGCAGGGGGGACACCCAACTGGAGAGAGACGTCACAGGTGCAATGAATGTGGGAAGAGCTTTACTCAGAGTTCAGTCCTTATTCAGCACCAGAGAATCCACACTGGGGAGAAGCCATATGAATGTGAACAATGTGGGAAGACCTTCAGCCAGAGGTCTGGTCTGATTGAACATCAGCGGAGCCACACTGGAGAGAAACCCTATCAATGTAAGGAGTGTGGGAAAGCCTTCAGTGCCAGCAATGGCCTCATTAGACACACAAGAATCCACACAGGGGAAAAACCATATGAATGTGAAGAGTGTGGGAAAACCTTCCGCCTGAGCTCATACCTTGTTCAGCATTCTCGAATACATACTGGAGAGAAGCACTATCGGTGTAACGAGTGTGGTAAAGCCTTCAGTCAAAACGCGGGGCTTTTCCAGCATCTGCGAATCCACACCGGTGAGAAACCCTATCAGTGCAGTCAGTGCAGCAAAAGCTTTAGTAGGCGAACGCTCCTTATAAAACATGAGAGAAGCCACACTGGAGAGAGACCGTATGAGTGTGATGAGTGTGGGAAAGCCTTCAGTCATCACTCCAACCTCATTAGGCATTTTAGAATCCATACTGTTGCCAAACTGGACTAATTCCATGGACACCCTTCCCCCCACCCCATGCCCCTAAATGGGGCCATCTTGGAAAGTAAGATTTTCAAATGGCTTATTTTGTTCTTATCAAACATTTTGCCTTGGAATGAGTAGCATGTCTGCACATGGGTGTCTCCTGGGTGGATGACTGTGGGTGTAAGTAGTTGCCAGGCAGCTTTCTCCTTCCTATCCCTTGGTTCATTTTTAGTTATTTCCCTTAAAGGACCCAGATTTTACCTGGAAATAAATTGGTACAGAAGGTCAGTTCTTGAGTAGTACTGAATATTGAACAACTCTAAAAGACTAACATCTGTGTATACTTTAAGATTGGATAAGTTGGTGAGGTTTTGTTTTGTTTTCTGTAAAAGTTGCATTTTAAACACACTTAAGGCTTAGGAGAATAAAAATCATTCCTATTCTCATAGGGATTAATTTCCATGGTCTCCCATAGGAATGTGGTAAATTATCTCCATGGGCTTTCATCAGAAGGGGTGGCATACTCATTAACTAAGCAGTATTATCCATGGTGTGAAACCTATATTCTTGATGGTTTAGAAATCCATGTCCCATTTGATATCTAAGTGCATTCCATATGTAAAGTTACCATTTTTGTCATCAATAATGAATAAGAGGATATTTTAAAACCTTCACAATGTGCCTTTCTTGTTAATAGCTTTTTCTGTAGCGTTATTCCCCAGCTACTGCCTTCTGGAGGTTAGCAGCTTTGAATGCCACTGCAAGCAGCAGCATGTAGGCTCTATAAAGAAAAGGAGCCTCCAACCTCAGGCAGCTTGCTGCTTGACTAGGGAGACCACCATGCTCAGGCCATTGATTGTCAGGGTTAAACCCAAGCTTTGGTACCCAACTGTCTAGGTTCAAATTCTGCCTCTCCATTTGTGAGCTGTGAGACATGGGCAACTTATTTAAATGTTCCTGTGCTACAGTCTCCCCATTTGTAAAATGGGATGATAAGAGCTCTTTTCTCATAGGTACGTAAGATTAAATTAATTCAAACTTCAAACAGCTCTCAATAAATGTGCACTATGATTTACATAAGAAATAATACTATAAAATGGATGTAGGTGGAATTGTATTTTAAAACTAAATAGGATATTAAATGACTGCTGACATTCTTACTATACTTTTCTCCACAGTCAAAATCTGAATCAGAATTGCAAAAAAGAGGAAGTAAAAGTTCAGCTTAGAAGTATACTGTGCTGAGCCTGTCTTCAAACTTTATAAGAAAAATAGTTAAATACATATGTGTATATATGTATATGTATATGTATTTGGTTTTCTTTATAGTTTAGGGAGCATAAGAAAAAAAACTTTAATATTGACCTTAAAAGTGACTAATTTGTGAATGGAACAATTAGCTAAGTTCAGATTATGTAGAATAATGCTTATCAACTTGAGAGTTTCTACAAGTCACCTGGGATCTTATTACAACACAGATTCTAATTCAAATGGTCAGAAAGGAGCCCAGGGATCTCCAGTGCTGCTGCTTGTACTGTGGGCTCATGGAACACACTTTGGGTATCAAGGCCTCAGACAGCCCTGAGTATTGAGATGGTCCTTCAAATGCTAGAGGTGCCAAGCAAATCAAAGGCCCTTCCCATGCTTCCTCACCTACAACCTCTACATCGTCACATAGTCCCTAACCCTGTGGTCCCCATGCACACCCACTGCCTGTCCACATAGCCGTCCTCTGGGCCTCTTTCCAGCCATCCCACACAGCTGTCCTCTGGGTCTCTGTTCTTGGCACTGCCACCACTCCAGCCTCTGCTCTGCTCTCCTGCACCCTTGCAACCACGCCATTGTGTCGTACCCAGAGCAGTGGGTGGAGCTCCCTATATAGAGTCAACAGCCATGTATTGCCCACAGTGAGCTAGTCAACCGGGGCCAGGTGAGAATCCTGGCCACAGGAACTCTCATTTTATCCACATCTACACACAGTCTGATCCAGTTTTATACCAATGCTGAGGTGTGGGGAAAATTGAAGTTCCTATGGCTAGGATCCTCACCTGAACCTAATCTACTTGATAATGTAACTGGCCTCCTGCTAAGCTACTGCTTCCATACCTGTTAGCAATAAGCTATTACTGACTGAGTCACTATATAAAGAGCTCTGCCCAGTGCTCAGGGAGGAGGCAGAAACGGAGGATTACAGACCTGCCAACTGTTGGATGCAGACATGACTGGATTGCTCCACTATCCACAGGAGAACAAGCCAGGTAACAAACCCTTTTACACCCAAGAACATTCCACTGTCATTCCTCAGTCTCACTGAATCCATAGTGAACTTGCCCAGGGCTGAAACCCATTGGCAAGACATGAGGTCTTCAGCCTCTTATTCCCTGTTTTGTTTAGATCATCCTTACTTCATGGACTGTGTCAATTTTCAACTATGGATTTGGCACCATTCTATGGTTACTATGGTCTTGCCTGCATTTTTTTAAATGGCACCTTCCAGGAAAAATTACAACAAGAAAAGTCAGTTCGTTCTTTAAATGCACAAAATAACCAATTCAACAAATAGGTGATTTCCACATATGACATCCAAATTACACATAGAAAACGTACCACTGGAGTTCAACATTTTTACAAGTAAACTTTAATATTACTTGTTGTGATAGTATTTGAAACTCTCAATAAATGTTTGATTTAAAAAAATATTAATTTCATTGCAAACATCAGGTTTGCTTTGAGAGGGTACAGTCTGATGTGTACTTGTGACTTTTCTGTGTCTTATTAGTATCTGCAGTGCATCTGTTTTATCTGCCTTAATCTGACAGGTTAGCCTTCTGCTTCAAGTAGAAATGTGCAATATATCTCCGAAAATCCAAGAGGTCTAGAGAGGTACCTGGGTTACAGGCTCTGTGTAGCTGCCATGCATTGTTCATGGCTACATCAATTATGTAGCTCACCAAAGCTGAGTACCATTTCTTGCTTCTTATTTTCACCCTATACTTATAAATGATTTGATCCATTTTAGCTACACCTTCTCTGCATTCATCATACAATTTCACTATTGATGGTTGAATTATCTGAGTGATCTCATCATCATTGGCAAAACAACTTACATTATTAACTGGTTCTATGCCTACAGCATTGGAGCACAGGCTGATAATGCCATCACCATGCCAACGACACAAAATTATCTCATCATTTTCTTCCACTTGGAAATCAAAATATCCCTTCTTCATTTTTTTCATGTGTTCTGCATTCATGAGGGGACATTTTTCAGTCCTGTTCTCATGAATTGTTCCTGTTGCCCTCACCCCTTTCTTCTTTAAGGCTGCCACCAGTTTGACACTTGTAAAGAAACTATCAAAACAAAGGTGATAGGGATATTGACCTCTCTCTAAAAGAATATTGGCAAAATTCATCACTAGATTTCCACCTAAACCAAGATCGAGATCCTTATCTGCTATCACAGTTGATTCTTCTTGATAGGGCTCAAACCAAACCATATAACCCTGTGTGGTTGTACCACACCAGATTTTATAGCCAATTCGAATAGGCTTCCCATTCACGAATTGATCACTATCGATGCATTCACACATTGTCTTATCAAAATAATAGTATTCTTCCAGGGGAGCATATAGGAGGAAATTTCTGTTCATTTGCTTTATAAAAGGCCTCAGTTTTGTAAACTTATCTTTTTGATCTAGGTGGCTATTATCTGCAAAATGAAGGCATGAGAAAATCAATTCAAATCTGTCCCTTCTAATTGCATCTCCAACAAGGTTCTGATCAGCATCAGAGATTTCCCAATACATTCCCCTTCTGGGGCGCCTCACAAATCCACTTAAAAGCAAGATACCAAACAGACACCTCATTTCCTGAACTGTGACTTCCAAGCTGACATTTTTGTGAGAAGCGTAATTATTGGTTTCATTGACAATCAAGTTAAATGTTTCATCATCAAAAAATAATTCAAAGAACTCCACTGGATTCAACTTTTCACTCTTGAGATTCAAAAGTCCAGAATCCAGTGCTGACCAGCTTGGAAAGTTGGGTTTAATGTCTCTTTTGGTCCAATTCTTCCCTGGGACATTTGACATCTTTAGCTTTTTTTGAGCAGGCTGAGTCTCAGACTCGTTATCTTCTTCCACATCTGAGTCCCCAGAAAATGCAAGGCCTTGGAGCAATTCACTCACTCGAGCTTTGTCCTTTTTTCTCCCTTTTCGGGTAATGTCTCCTGCAGCATATTCTAAAGATGAGATGTGTGTCCGGGCCCACAGGTCACTGGGGTGACGGTCCTTCAAAGTATTCAAATGAGCAACTGTCCTCTCAGTAGGAACAGGAGTACTACAAGGTACCTGGGGTGCCCAGTCTCTGGGAAAGAAAAAAATACACATGCTATGAAAATCCTTATTCTTATTTGCTGTTTGTTTTCTGTCTCTATCAGTCAGTTCTGAAGTTAGATAAGGAATGGGGTTGTTACTTGGCCCCTCACACCTCTCACAGAATTTCTAAATGTGGAAAGATTTAGCCTCCTAGTTCCACATTCATCTGGTGGACACACTGCTCTAAGGAGAAACAAGAGAAACGCAAACTTACTGCCCTTGAAATGATTTCTATGGGGTTTACAAGGAAGTAGGCTGAAGTTACTAAGAAGAAAAGTATTATACACATTTTTTAATTCTAGAGATATGCATTTCATTTACTAATGTCCTATTGTCAAAGAGTAGTTTTATAAGGTATAAGGGGAAAAGTGAAAAGAGTATGTTGTAATGTAATTTACACAACATATAGTTATTAGGGCATTTATCATCCTAGGTGTCAGTGTGTACATGCATGACCCATTCAACATCAGAGTCCCTGACATTGTGAACTGCAGGGACACTCCTTGAAGCCTGTCATTACATGCAAGCTTTGCACTGATAAAATTTAAACTGTAAGAGCCCACGTTCTATCCCCAGTTTCTTTTCAGTCTAGCTTCCTCGTTCTTTTGTCAGTGATTCCTATTCTTCTCAGACACCTTCATTCACTCCTGCTTCCACCTCCCTTCCTATTCAGTGTAGATTCCATAATCCATCACCTTAATACCTTTCTTGCCAGGGTCATCAATCACCTGCCCAGTGTCCTTCTGTAACACTGGGCCAGCAAAACTTCAGCACCTGATCAAGCCTATTGCTGGTCTTCTCTCCTCTCACCCAGTAGTGCACAGTGCCAAAGAAGTCACAAGTAGGCAGACTGACACTGCTAAGATGGTCTCCCAGATTCAGCTAGTTATGCAATACTGCCCATTCCCTCTTGTCCCTTTCTTCCCAGTTCCAGAAAGCAGGTTATTTCAAATATTCATCACTATTCTCAAATCTCCTATCCAATTCCTGGTATCTCCAAACATGACCTTTTTCCCTACTCCAAAGATGACCCGGAGTGTTTGAATTGGAAACTTGCTCTTAGAAATGGTCTCCCTCCTCAGCTCCCATGACCCCTCTCTTCCAGTTCTCCTCTCTGCTCTAGACATTTGCATATTCTATTTCTTAGCCTCTTTCCTTTACACACTTCCTCTTAATCTAACAAATTTCTGCTTACTCATCAAGTCTTGTTTCAGACACCACATCTTATGGACTCAGGCTGAGTCTCAGACTCGTTATCTTCTTCCACATCTGAGTCCCCAGAAAATGCAAGGCCTTGGAGCAATTCACTCACTCGAGCTTTGTCCTTTTTTCTCCCTTTTCGGGTAATGTCTCCTGCAGCATATTCTAAAGATGAGATGTGTGTCCGGGCCCACAGGTCACTGGGGTGACGGTCCTTCAAAGTATTCAAATGAGCAACTGTCCTCTCAGTAGGAACAGGAGTACTACAAGGTACCTGGGGTGCCCAGTCTCTGGGAAAGAAAAAAATACACATGCTATGAAAATCCTTATTCTTATTTGCTGTTTGTTTTCTGTCTCTATCAGTCAGTTCTGAAGTTAGATAAGGAATGGGGTTGTTACTTGGCCCCTCACACCTCTCACAGAATTTCTAAATGTGGAAAGATTTAGCCTCCTAGTTCCACATTCATCTGGTGGACACACTGCTCTAAGGAGAAACAAGAGAAACGCAAACTTACTGCCCTTGAAATGATTTCTATGGGGTTTACAAGGAAGTAGGCTGAAGTTACTAAGAAGAAAAGTATTATACACATTTTTTAATTCTAGAGATATGCATTTCATTTACTAATGTCCTATTGTCAAAGAGTAGTTTTATAAGGTATAAGGGGAAAAGTGAAAAGAGTATGTTGTAATGTAATTTACACAACATATAGTTATTAGGGCATTTATCATCCTAGGTGTCAGTGTGTACATGCATGACCCATTCAACATCAGAGTCCCTGACATTGTGAACTGCAGGGACACTCCTTGAAGCCTGTCATTACATGCAAGCTTTGCACTGATAAAATTTAAACTGTAAGAGCCCACGTTCTATCCCCAGTTTCTTTTCAGTCTAGCTTCCTCGTTCTTTTGTCAGTGATTCCTATTCTTCTCAGACACCTTCATTCACTCCTGCTTCCACCTCCCTTCCTATTCAGTGTAGATTCCATAATCCATCACCTTAATACCTTTCTTGCCAGGGTCATCAATCACCTGCCCAGTGTCCTTCTGTAACACTGGGCCAGCAAAACTTCAGCACCTGATCAAGCCTATTGCTGGTCTTCTCTCCTCTCACCCAGTAGTGCACAGTGCCAAAGAAGTCACAAGTAGGCAGACTGACACTGCTAAGATGGTCTCCCAGATTCAGCTAGTTATGCAATACTGCCCATTCCCTCTTGTCCCTTTCTTCCCAGTTCCAGAAAGCAGGTTATTTCAAATATTCATCACTATTCTCAAATCTCCTATCCAATTCCTGGTATCTCCAAACATGACCTTTTTCCCTACTCCAAAGATGACCCGGAGTGTTTGAATTGGAAACTTGCTCTTAGAAATGGTCTCCCTCCTCAGCTCCCATGACCCCTCTCTTCCAGTTCTCCTCTCTGCTCTAGACATTTGCATATTCTATTTCTTAGCCTCTTTCCTTTACACACTTCCTCTTAATCTAACAAATTTCTGCTTACTCATCAAGTCTTGTTTCAGACACCACATCTTATGGACGCCTTCTCTGATACTTCAGAGCTCAGGTGGATGCTCTCCTATATGATCTATCCTACCAACAGGGCACTTCATCACACTACATTGTAGTAGTCCTGTGTTGCCTCATCTGCTCGACCCTCAGGTGACTTATTGAAAGTAGGGTTTCTGTATTATATATGACTGGATATGAGGCATAAAATTCTTGCTCAATGAGGAGTGGAAGAAAAGAAGGATAATATGAAATGAAATGTAAGTTGGAACTTCTAAAGGTGCACCTGGAACACACTGTCTTTTCAACACAACTAACTCTTGGCCTCTTCTTACCAGTTCCTTGCTTGTTTTTCTAAACCCAATTCTTTATCCATAATCTGCCTAATTAATTTTAGCCTGAGACATCCTGAGAAAGTTTCAAATCCCTAAAAATCTGCTCCATGATAGAGGCAGACTTTGTTACTTTTCTGCCAACATCCCTTGCCCTCTTCCTCTTAATTAATCAGAAAACCAACTGTGTTTGGGGCAGCCATGTGTCCAGGTCCAGGCCATGAACTGGTTGGTCTAAGCCAGTCATGATAATTCCATTCCCTTTTTCTAGACAGTCAGTTCTCCAGGATCTCTGGTAGCCAGGTGGTCATGAGACAGTTTTAGCTGGCAAGAAATAAGGGGAAGATGGAGGCTTCTGGGAAGGCTTTCGCTTTCTTGATACCCGGACAGACAGTGGTAGAGATGCCCTTCTACCTCCTTTCTGCTTTAAACAGACTTGGAGCTGCAGGAGCCACCTTGTGGTCATAGGTCTATAAACTAACACTAAGGATGGTACAAGTAGAGACTTAAGAACCTGGATCCTTGAAAATGAAAACTGAATGATGTCAAATGTTGGAGGTAAATTCTGATATTTCTGTAATACAAAACATTCAGTAACAAAGTTTAGCATCATTCTCTTTGACAGTGCTTTCCTGGTATATATATATATATATATCAGATAAATAAGCCAAATTAGTCAAATACTTTCTCTAATGAGAAAAAATTCTTCTGACATGTTCCAGGGGCCCTCTGGAAAATATCAGAGTTAACTAGAGGTAAAAGCACTTTTTTTGCATTAATTCTATTAGAACTGTCTATCATTACACATTTATTATCTATATACCCAGCACAGTAAACGAGATACCTTAAAAAGGTGGGGCAGCAGGGGAGACTGCTGCTGTCAGTTTTAAAAGACAATATATAGAAAGTCAAAATAATTCTAGGTTACCAAGCATTCTTGAGAGAATGGTAGCAGATGGTAGATTCTTCTGCTTTCATCTTCAGGAAGGGAAAAAAAGCTACAATAAGAATTCACATTTAGCTGAAAGAACTGTCTAAACTCAAGGCAGAGTATAATATCACCAGGCATACAAAAGACCTGTTAGAGATACATACAAAGAATGAATATGGCTATAGTCAAATTCAACTTAAAAGTTTAAGCAGAATCTCAAATTTAAATGTCTCTTTCCTTCACACAGATATTCAGATATGACCAGAAATATGCTTTGAGATGAAAGAGATCAGGCATTTTACTTCTTCATTTAGGGACTGAGAAATGATGACCTTTGGCTTACAATCAATAGCTTACAAACAGTGAAAATAATAAGAACATAACTCAGAATAAGTGTCTAAGACCAGATACAAAAAAGCAGAGAATGTGCTTAAGTCTACAGGTCTTCCCTGAAAGCTTCAAGAATGTTTTACTCTTTAATAGTAGATAGAGCTTTTAATAGAATTTGCATAGCAGCTTATAAGATCATTTGCATTAAAAAAATATGGAGTCCTCCATGTTTTTTAAAACATACAAACATATCCACAGCATATAAATTAAACAAGAAGACCTGGTGGTTCTCAAAAAAATCTATTACAACTTTTCTCAAAAGTGGTCACACGTTCATCCATCTAAACCTTTACAGTGAAACCTGTTTTTCTGGGAGAAACATAATCTTGTCTAGATTCTACACAGTTTAATTTTTAAGAATAAATTTTGGTTTGTTAACTAAGTGCATTTAATCAGCTGAAAAAAGCTTTGTTACCATTCTGCTTAGGATAAATTAAGAAAACAATCACTAACAACTTTAATCATTTGTTGGTTAGAGATTTTTCCACTTATAAAAATATATGGAATAAATAATTCAATTTCTCAGGCCATGCAATCATTTTCAATAACAAAATATTT